AATGACGATGCCACTAGTGACAGAGATTAAATGATTCCCATTATAACCATTGGCAATACCATTTCTGATCCTGCATTATGGTCCAATCTAACACCCAAAATTCAAGATCTGCTAGTGATCAATAGTCCACCAAAAGTAAAGGACATGGATTTTCCTCTGGATGAGGAGAATGGCCATTTTTCTATGATGTTTTTAATACAGAAAGCTTGAAAACAGTGAAGTTTTTAAGCGGCGCTGGCTGCTTTACTCAGATTCCACTGACAAGGTTTTCTGTTTCTGCTGCAAGCTCTTTGACTTGAATCTAAAATCATCCCTAGCATTCGAGGGGTCAAATGATTGAAGAACATGTCTCAGCTTCTCATGCATCATGAAAAGTCGCCTAGTCATTTCAATTCCTACCAAATGAGGGTCAAAGCAGAACAAATGCTAAAGCAGGATAATTGCATGAACATGGATCTTCAGTGTGTGATTAAACAAGAGACAGAACACTAGGAGAACATTGTAAAGAGGCTCATGACAATAACACTATCTTTCTAAAAATAACATGGTTTTTTCCAAGATTTATCTGGCAGGCTCTTCACGAATTTCCTAGGTTTGGTGGAGGTACTAGGAAAGGAGTTACTAGGAAAGTATGATGAAGTAATGAAGGAACATTTGCGACTCATACTTTCCAGGGAGGTAACGGATCACTACTCTGGAAAAACAATCCAGAATGAGATAATTGAATTATTGGTGAAGAAAGTGCTGCAAGATATTCTTAAAAGGTTAAAGAGTGCTAAGTTTTACTCCGTTATATTGGATTGCACTCCAGATGAGAGTTGTCATGAAAAGATGTCTTTCACGGTTAGGTTCCTTTATTGGTTTTAAAACAGTGGCTGAGTCCACAAGGGAAGCACTAACTGATACTATACTTACTACTCTGAAGGAATTCGACATAAATATCCAAGACTGCCGAGGCCAGGGTTATGACAGCGGTGCAAACATGAAGGGGAAAAACAAGGGTGTACAGGCAAAAATCCTTAATCAAAACCCAAGAGCATTTTTTGTTCCATGTGGATGCCACTCGCTCTGTCTTGTGGTGGGGGATGCTGCAATATCTTCATGGGAGTCCATCTCCCTCTTTGGCATTCTGCAAAGGATCTACCTTCTGGTTCTCTACCTCTGTTCATCATTGGAAGATTCTCATAGATCATGTCAATATCGCTGTGAAGCCAATATGTGAAACACACTGGGAGTGCAGAATTGACAGTGTTAAAGCTGTTCGATACCAAAAAGCTGAAGTCCACGATGCCCTCATCGTATTGGCTGAATCAGAGCAAGCAGATGCTGGTGTCCATCATGAAGCACTCACCCTGGCATGTGAACTAACTAAATTCGAGTTTCTTGCCTCCATTGTGGTGTGTGGTACGATATCCTTTTTCAAGTCAATGTGAACAAAAGCAAGAAAAACTTCAACACTGTTGCAGCCACAAATTTGATAAATGCTTGCCATGACTATACTGTAAACTACAGGGAAGTCAGGTATGAAGGAGCTCTGACAACAGCTAAGGAAATAGCTGAAAATCTTGGTGTTTAACCAGTCCCCACGTGTTCATGATAAAAAGCATCAGTTCAGCTATGAATGTGAAGATGAAACAATTTACAATCCAGAAGTCAAGTTTAAAATTGAATTTTTCAGCCGGCTTTTAGACACTGATGTCTCTGGAAGAACGGTTTGAGCAAATGAATCAACATGTGAACCTTTGGGGCTTTCTATATAACATAACGCGACTCCCTGACAAAGAAACTTTGATGAAGCACTGTAACAACCTTCACAGTGCACTGACATATGGAGAGAGCTCTGACATTAACAGCAGTGACCTCTGCAAAGAATTTGGCTATCTCCAAAGTCTGCTTCCAATGGACTGTAGTGCTCCTCAAGAAATTCTATAATTTATTTACAACAATGAACTTAATGACAACTTCCCAAACACATGGATAACACTCAGGATCCTGTTAACCATACCTGTAACAGTGGCGAGCAACGACTGGAGCTTCTCGAAGTTGAAGCTCATAAAAACATATTTGCGATCGACCATGGAAGATGAGACAATCTTTGCTGGCCATCCTGTGTATTAAGAATGCTGTGGCTCAGAATATAGACCTGTCATAAGCAATATCAGAATTTGCGGCAGCAAAGGTACACAGAGTTAGTTGCCTTCTGAGTCTTGGTGAACAAAGTTTTTTTTTTTATTTAGTTTAGTGTTTGTCATTTAGCTATGTTATTTTTTGACATTTATTTGAATAAAACAATTGTCTTTTGTATTTGTTAGTAAATTATAAAAACTTGAGATTACAGCTTTATTTCTGAAACTTTTGTTAATATCACTACATACTTACACTCAAAGAAAGGGCACAAAAATTCAGGTTTGCCTAGGGTGCCATTTTCTCTAAAGTTGGCCCTGTGAGAGGACACACTCCCAACCCCAAGGAAGTATGAATATGAGGTACAAGGTATGGTTAGATGGCTGGCAGGTAAACCTAACTCACCCTCAACTCTGTCTGGTCACATCTCTCCCACCATATTACCACTCTCTCAACTACTCTCTCATACTATCCCCCAACATAAGGAACAGAAGCATCTATCCTCCCCCAGTCCTGATCCCAAATGAATGCCTCTTTGGTCTCAAATAACTTGTTTCCCTCTAACAGCAGTGCTGAACTGATAAAGCATCCTCTGGTTCCTCAGACCTAGACTTCTCAACCAGCAAACTACAGATGGTTTGAGTAGCGGCGCTGGAATCTTGGCTTCAAAGATGTGCCTCCTCTCCTTGGCCTATCACTGCTAACATGTATATTTTTGTGTTTTGTTGGGTTTTTTTAAAAGAGGGATCAGCTTATTTTGATAAACACAACCCTCCTACTAATGGATTATTATTTGAGTTCTATTTATTAAGTAAATGAACAACTTCTACTGAACTAAAACTTTTTTTTTTTTAAATAATTACATCATATTATACTCGTGTTCTATTTCGGATACAACATATTGTTATGAGTAGGATCCAGTATCCCCAGTGGCCACAAGAGAGAGACATCATTCATGCAGATAACCTTTCCACCAAGGCGTTTTCACTAAGGTTGAAGTTAACTCATGCAAAGATCCACTACAAGGACTACTATGCACTGCTTAGGAGACTGATAGGCTTAAGTGGCGTATAGAAGTTTATATGCCACTTAAGCCTATTAGTAGCCTACGTTATAGACCTTTTGTATGCTGCTCCTTTAAATGAGAAATTTCAATTTTAAATCCCCCTTTCTAAAAGGTAATGAAACTACTGCATTATATTTAAACTATACAGTAGAACCTTTATTTTTAAATTAACTGGGGATTGAATAATTCATAAAATTGAATCTCTCAAAATTAGCCGTTGCAGTATGGTGTACTGCATTGTTCTCTTCCTGTCCTTCAAACCACTGCAAGGTAATTTCCACTGGAGGCATCAGAATTTGAATGGATGTTGATTTGTTCTTCAACATCACTTCCATTGTGTGATTCCCCTACCCCACCCCTGCGCCCTGAATTGTGGAAAATGGTTGGTATAGCTGCTTGTTTGTAAGATTGATGTACTGTATTTACCAGTATTTGTATTTCATAAAATATCACTATTGGAGAACACACATAGAAAGCTGTGTCATGCAGCTCTTACTCATGAGAGTAGCCCTACTAAGGTCAACAGAACTCCTCATGCAAGCTAGGGCTGGAAGTAAGGCCCAAATGTATCTGGACAGCTCCAGTGATCGGTTACAGTATCTATTCCTTTAATTGAGAGTAGGAAATACTACATGTTCTGTGGCAAGTAACTACCCCCAAACAGTGTTAATTTAAGAACAAATGTTATCCATGGCAATATATCACACAAGATAATCCATTCACAAGGATAAGAATGGTAGAATTACACCTCTAGTAAACAATCACACCAGCTCGTCAGCTAATTAATGGGGTGAGAAAGAGAAAAATAGATTCTAGTCTGAGTGAAAGGTCTATATTAACAGAAAAGTAACAAAAATTACCCATAAAGATTTTACCAAGACCATGAAATGATTCTCTGGCTGAATACATTTGCCTATACCAATTTTCCATCTTCTATAATTAAGCAAAATCCATTTCCTTCACTCACAAAGAATACACTATAAAGAATACCTTGTGCCTCTGTTTTGGGCTTAGCACACAGTTATGTTGTTCCATGGCCGTCTTCCAAATTCTCCAGCTGAGACTCCTTCATTTTGTTAAATGCAGTTGTTGGGCTGACCTCTTATCCTAAGCCATATTCATTTGATCTAATGCTGCACCTCAAGCAGAAAATTCTTGATTTACATTTGGGACCCCACCCCATGAAGGGCAGAATGCCCTTGCAACCTCCAATGACTTCACAAACTGAATTCTATCCTGTGAGACTAACATGAGACTTGGGGTGGTCTAGATAGGCTGAAGACATGATTGTGAAGTATCTGCTTTTTTAATTTTGTTTGGATTTTCCCCACCCGTAACTCATCAATGGATTGTACCAAAACAAATTGTGAAGGAGTGCCATCTGGATGGAGCTTACAAGCTGGTTACTGCCAGAATTAGGTTTTGCCCTGTTGGTTTTTGTTTCCCTCCCCTCATCTTTTCTATAACATATCCCCTAGAAAAGGCATCAGGGGGTGCTAGAAACAACCCTGGCAAGTTTGAGCCAGAGGATTTTTCTTGACAATTTTGATGATAAAAAAAAAAAAACCCTAAAGAAATTCCCACACAAACTTTAGTGAGAGTTTATAAATACAGAGCCAGATCCTTAGCTGCTTTTAACATCTTCACTGGCAGCAAAGGAGCTATGACAAGTTATACCAGCTGAGGAGCTGACTTGTATTATTTACTAACAAAGGTGGCTTTCACGGCATTTTGCTCAATTTAACTACCCAGCCCTGCTGCCCCTAAACATTCCCCCCCCCAGGGGGCCACAGTGCCATCAAAAGCGAGATTAGAGAAATTTTCTTTTATTATATCAAGAACCTGGTATTACTGAACAGGGCTGGTTCCTGTCTCAGATACATTTTTGTCCTTCCAGTGAAAGGTAGCGATAGCAACGACCTATCGCTGCTGCAGCACAACAAATGCTTATCCCCTTTATTCCCCGTAATGTTTCCTTCAAAACCCAAATGTGGTGAAAATTAAGAAAAGTGTTCTCAAAACCAGGACAAATATCAACATATAAAAACCTTCAGTCTCCAGTAATGCACACATCAAACCATACATATGTACAACAGTCTGTAATATGGAACATTACATTTGGAAGGTGGAAAACTCAGGCTGTCCAAAAAGAAATCTATCCTGTAAGCTTTCTCTAGTCAGTTTCCAACTCATCAGGAGTCTCAGCCAGGTAATCTTCAGATATCTCCATTTGCCTGGCTTGCCTGAATGGGCTAAAAGTTTGATTTATAGAGGTACTGAATACCAAGAGCTACCTTTGACTTACATGGGAGCTACGGGTACATTTCACCTCCCAAACTCCATTCCTAAGTATCTGCTGCTTCTCGGAAGGGGTTCAGAAATGGGTTCTAAATTTCAAATGGTAGGAGTCCTTCCTCTCAGTAAAGAGCCAACAATCCCTTTTTCCTGTTGTGGGTCACACTAACATGCATTTTCTGACCTATTTTCAGTGAGCTCTGCCTCACATAGTAGCTTGTGAACAGATATTAATGCATTCTCTCCTTTTACATCAAGTTGGTCTCTCTTGTGTATCCAGGTCCCTGTGAAGCCTTCAGATGGAGTTACTGGTGATAGGATTATTTTTGAGGATCATAGATTTCCTACTCAGTTTTTCCCTCAGCTAGTGATTGTTCCAGCTTCTCTGTGTGAATCATCTGGTGTCTAAGAAGACTCATCTGGCTAAGTGGATTGGGTCTCTTTCATGTGACTTTTTTGATGCCTAACTAAGCTTCTTTTCAGCACAAGGCTTTTCCCACACACATTACACTGGAATAATTTCTCCCCTAAATGCCGGCGTTGGTGATTTAGAAGATAATCCTTTCTGCTGTAGCTTGCGTCACATTCGGTACATTTATATGGCCTCTCTCCACTGTGAATCACTTGGTGTCTAATGAGCCACGAGCGGCAAATGAAGCTCTTCTCACATTGGCTGCATTCATAGGGTTTCTCTTTTCCATGGCTCCTTTGGTGTTTTGTCAAACTTACCTTCAGCTGGAAATTTTTCCCACACTCAGCGCATGCAAATAGTCTCTCTTCTGTGTGGGCTTGTTGGTGATTCTGAAGATGCACCTTTTGAGTACAGTTTTTCTCACATTCAGTACTTGTATGCAGTCTGTCTTCTGGGTAGGGTTCTTCCTGATGGATTAATAATTTTTTGTCACAGAGAGATGAAACCCCCAGACTGTTCCCAGTAGCAGTTGCCTGCTGCATTTTTGAATTGTACACACTCTTCCATGTCACTCTCTGTTTGGGATTCTGCAAACACTCTTCTCCAAGTTTTCCATATAATCTAGACTTGTACACAATGCTTTCAAGAGGTTTTCCAGGGAGCTTATCCTTGTTTGTGCTTCCATCTTTCGCTGAAATAAACATACAATCACAAGAAGGTAACACGAATAAGGAAACCTCTTCTGATCGCAACCAACCAAAGATCTTAACCAGAAAAGTGTTTGTGGCTATATTGTTCCTGAAGAACAGATAAAGCAAGTTAAATAAAAATATAGGCTTTATTACTAAATAGAACAGCTTGGAAAGTTTCCACTGAAATTAAAATGTTGATGAAAAATAGAAAACATTTGTGAAAGTCTCTGCAACCAGCTCTATTAAAAATTACTTATGCAGAGTCATAGATTTGATCCGCACTTTACAAACCTATGGCAAGACCTGTGCCCAGCTTCGAAGAGTCTAGTCTGAGCACTGGATCAGTAAACACACACAAGTTTTGGGACCTGATTTTCAGAGACACGAGTACCCACACCTCCAAATAAAGTCAAACAAGACTCTGGGGATGCTCAGCACCTCTGAACATCAGGCCTGTAGTGTAAACTGATTGTGTATTTACTAGAAGTTCCTGACTAAAGAACACCATTAACCTGAGAGCTTATCCAATTGAGGCCTAACCAGTACTGAGCATAGCAGAACATTAGCCTCACTGAGAGCTCTGATCCCACAACAAACTTTGTGCATAGGGCAACCCCCTGCGCACACCCAGAGCTCTGGGCTCTTGTCCTTAGTATATCCCTGCTGAGAGTTCATTGCAGGGCTAGGCCTGATTATATACTTGATACTCCTCTTGATACAGCCCAACAGAGTACGTGACATTCTTGCTACTCCACTAGTGTACTGCCACCCTGTGGTCACGTTCCCGCATCTATAAGGAATTATTCCTCCCCACATCGATCATTTGACATTTAGCTTTAAAGATTAGTTTTTCAATGGATTTCAGCAGAGGCGTCCAGTATATCATGATCACTATATTTTAATAATCTCCTCAGAGTTTCTAATCCATCCCACCTTTGTCTCATCCATGCATTAAATACATTAAGGCTCCACTACACCCGCTAGGTTGTTAATGAGAAGACTGAACGGCATCTGTTTCACACGTACCATATTGAGACACCACTCGTTTTAGTCTCAGTTACTTACGTTCCACACAAATTTGGTGGCCCCTCGCTTCTATTGTTGACAATTATTTACATCCGTAATAAAGGCACACGTGAAGCTCAGGTTACAGAATGTCATTTACTCTAAGGGAATTAATGCCGCACGATTAGCAATTTCCTGCACAAATAATTCTTGGGTGTCCTTCATTTTGGGCCTTTTCCCAAATATTTCGTCCTATATTTGGGTCCTGGCAGGTTGAAAGCTGAACAGTGCTAGGTCTAAACCATATGGGACTCTACTTGAGACTGCTTTCCTATCTGACAGAACCATTTCCTCTGAGTTTTTAACCAAACTTGTGTCTATTTTGTAGTAACCATAGCTAATCCACTGACCCATGTTAGGAGGATGCTTCATCATATATCAAGAGGATGGCACTGAATTACTGGGTTTGTGGGGACAACTAAAAAGGTCCTGAATTTTCTGCATTTACATTAATTTAACTTTGCATTAATTTAGCTTTCCCACTAGGAGCATTATTCCCTTACTGACCTGTGCTGGGATCTGTATGGATTTCGTTTTCCTCTGAATCATGCTGCTCACAGACACTCGGCTCTTCCTCTTGTTTAATCCGTGATAAAATGTCAGTTGCACAAATTTGAAATCCTATTAATGGGAAAAGAGTTACATTACAAAGCATTCACTGTAGAAGTTAGGAAAACAAAACATTTTGGAATAGTTAGGAACCCCAGATTACATCTGGTTGAGGTTGCTGGAAAGTCACATTTGTCATGCAGATAAGAAAAGTGCTGATAAAGCATCAGGAAAGACATGGTTATAAGAGCTCCCAAAGGTATTGCTGGGTGTCCAGCTTTGACCTACACCATTTGAGTTGTTCTGATCTATTACTCACCAGTGCATGGGTCTATAGGCATCTCTGTATTCTCTGACTCTAGCAGTACCCTGATGCATAACTCTTTGCCTTCCTCAGTCTGGGATAAAGTGTCAGACTTGGAAACTGCATGGTTTGGATGGACCCAGTATCATTGCATTTATGCAGTACATGTGTATATACTCATGCACTGTATATTATAGGAGGAGTTGGTAGTGCCACTTATTGTTAAAGTTATCCAATACTTCCCATTTTAAAACCCTGTTTTCAGTTGCTTATAAGGTTTGCCAAAATTTAACTGCTAGGGTTGATGTTTTCCATGCCAGGTGTCTACCACAGGTTAAATATTCATAGAAAGTTTCAACTAAAAGAGTTTAGCCATTTCCAAGAACAAGATTGGGGGAAACAGTTTTACCCTGATAAAAATAATTCTTACAACCTTTTCGTTTTCCTGCATCTCCTAGATTTGGAGCAAGGACTTGACTTGTGGTACAGGGTCCCACGAGTGTCAGGGATGTGCTTATTGCCACCCCCATGAAAATTCACCCACATTTGACCAAATTATAAGCCTCTGATCAGCCACAACCCTGATTCATCCCCACAGCACAGTCCATCCTGTTCAGTGAATGAGGCGGGGCTCCTGTGGAAAAAAATAGTACGTGATCATTTAATTAAAGATTGTATCATATTGCATATGAACACGGGGGCCAAATTTAGATTGCACAGGAAGACTTAATTCTGGCATTTCTTAACTTTTGAGTGCTTGACTTTGCAATCTTAAATGTTCTTTTAACAGAGTTTTTGTGTGGGGAAATTGATACATATGCACATATCCAAATACATGCACAAAACTGGCTTTCCTTTCCCAGGTTAAGGTATCAGTTCTATGCTCCCTGGCACAATCTGCCTGAAAAGACTAATCAAATAAGGCCCTGGTCCAAAAGCCTTATTTAGAAAGAGAGAAATCACAGTAATCACCTGAGCTACTCATGGCCACCTGGGCTGAAGATACCAAGCAAGGAGGGTTAAGGGAGGAAAACTATTTCCTACATCTACCACCTTCTGCACAGGAAAGAGGCAGTCACCAATTCTGCACTCTCAGAAAATGGATGGAAGATGGGAAAGAGAAAATGCCCCAATAAGTCAGGACCGATAGAAAGCCTGATTGACGTCATGCCAAGTGTTGGTTGTAGATTTGGAACACGCAGAAAAAGATAAAAGAGCTCACAAAGTTTATTAATCTTTCAATGTCACTCCACATTTGAGTTACTTTACTGTAACTCACCGGTATAGAGCTCTTTAGGGAATTTTCTGCCCTCCAAATCCTGCTGATCCCCGACATACAACTCTTCCTCTTGTTTAGTACGTAATAAACCCTCTTGTGTACAAACTGGAGATTCTGTTCACAGGAACAAAAAAATCACATTGTTTTTCCAACATACACCAGATGCTTTAGAAAAGAGTTCATGAGGGATTAGCTTGAGTTAGAAAAGGTCTCAATGGTGTTGGTCAAGAGAGTAGGAAAACATGGATAAAACATGTAACAAGAGACCCGGGGCCTGATTCACCATTGTGTTACTCCAGTTTTATACCAGGGTAACTCCATTAATGATTCAGACCCCAATGGTGTGCACACACAAAATGTTACATTGGGGTTACATTTGCACAAAAAAGGAAATAAACATTGATAGGGCATTTCAGTTTTACAAACTAGTATGAACACCAGAAATTCAAAGAAAGCTACACTTAAAAAACAGAGATTTTGGAACATACAGAAAGAGAGTTAAGGTACTTCAAACAGCCTTAACTCGGCCCTCATATTCTTGCCACTCTCTGCACCCTCCACGTAAGCTAGATCTACAAGTCTATGAAGAGTATCAGAAGATCACAGCTAAGTTACATGTTAAATCAGGAACCAAGGGAGCTAAAGACATTAATCCTCAAATATAGTATTTTGGTATCCAGTGTCCACAGTTGGAACATCTTTGATCACCTCTACTTTTGTTTGGCAAAGAAGATATAGCTTAATTGCAAGGGTTTTGAGGATTGTACATGCACAGTTGCAAGAAGCTCAACTACCATGGACAGTAAAGAGTTGTATGATTTCAAGTCTTCTGGCATAATTAGAGGTGGGAAAGTGGGCACATGCCAAGAGTCAGACTGATCATGCAAAGCTGGTCTCCAACTATGGAAAGATCAATCTCTCTCAAATGTGAAGTTGCGGAACTATTAACTAAGGTTTGTAACCTATCCTTTAAATCGGCTTCTGTACCCAATGACTGGAAGTTAGCTAATGTAATGCCCATATTTAAAAAGGGCTCTAGAGGTGATCCGGCAATTACAGACCGGTAAGTCTAACGTCGGTACCGGGCAAATTAGTTGAAACAATAGTTAAGAATAAAATTGTCAGACACATAGAAAAACAAACTGTTGAGCAATATTAACATGGTTTCTGTAAAGGGAAATCGTGTCTTATTAATCTATTAGAGTTCTTTGAAGGGATCAACAAACATGTGGACAAGGGGAATCCAGTGGGCACAGTATACTTAGATTTCCAGAAAGCCTTTGACAAGGTCCCTCACCAAAGGCTCTTATGTAAATTAAGCTGTCATGGGATAAAAGCGAAGGTCCTTTCATGGATTGAGAACTGGTTAAAAGACAGGGAACAAAGGGTAAGAATTAATGGTAAATTCTCAGAATGGAGAGGGGTAACTAGTGGTGTTCCCCAAGGGTCAGTCCTAGGACCGATACTATTCAACTTATTCATAAATGATCTGGAGAAAGGGGTAAACAGTAAGGTGGCAAAGTTTGCAGATGATACTAAACTGCTCAAGATAGTTAAGTCCAAAGCAGACTGTGACGAACTTCAAAAAAATCTCACAAAACTAAATGATTGGGCAACAAAATGGCAAATGAAATTTAATGTGGATAAATGTAAAGTAACGCACATTGGAAAAAATAACCCCAACTATACATACAATATGATGGGGGCTAAGTTAGCTACAACAAGTCAGGAAAAAGATCTTGGAGTCATCGTGGATAGTTCTCTGAAGATGTCCACGCACTGTGCAGAGGCGGTCAAAAAAGCAAACAGGATGTTAGGGATCATTAAAAAGGGGATAGAGAATAAGACTGAGAATATATTATTGCCCTTATATAAATTGACGGTACGCCCACATCTCGAATACTGCGTACAGATGTGGTCTCCTCATCTCAAAAAAGATATACTGGCACTAGAAACGGTTCAGAGAAGGGCAACTAAAATGATTAGGGATTTGGAAGGGGACCTATATGAGGAGAGATTAAAGAGGCTAGGACTCTTCAGCTTGGAAAAGAGGAGACTAAGGGGGGGATATGATAGAGGTCTATGATAGAGGTCTATAAAATCATGAGTGATGTGGAGAAAGTGGATAAGGACAAGTTATATACTTATTCCCATAACACAAGAACTAGGGGTCACCAAATGAAATTAATAGGCAGCAGGTTTAAAACAAATAAAAGGAAGTTCTTCTTCACGCAGCGCACAGTCAACTTGTGGAACTCCTTACCTGAGGAGGTTGTGAAGGCTAGGACTATAACAGCATTTAAAAGAGAACTGGATAAATTCATGGAGGTTAAGTCCATTAATGGCTATTAGCCAGGATGGGTAAGGAATGGTGTCCCTAGCCTCTGTTTGTCAGAGGGTGGAGATGGATGGCAGGAGAGAGATCACTTGATCATTGCCTGTTAGGTTCACTCCCTCTGGGGCACCTGCATTGGCTACTGTTGGGAGACAGGATACTGGGCTAGATGGACCTTTGGTCTGACCCGGTACAGCCGTTCTTATATTCTCTCCACAAGAAGAGTTCAAAATTCTTGCTGGATTTCCAGCATTTTACTGTATTAAGCGTGTGAGTGCTTCTGACATATCAGTCACCTGCGCTGGGGTCTGTAGGAATTTCTCTCTTCTCTGCATCTCCTTGATCCCCGACACTGAGCTCCTCCCCTCGTTCAATCCGGGATAGGATGTCAGGTTTGGAAACGGCATAGTCTGTTCATAGAAAAAGATATTAAGGGACAGTATATAGTAATAGGCTAGATTTGCATGAGTCTGTCCTCCCACAGTATGTATGTATATCACTGCATTCTACTGGATGAGCGGATCTTTTGAGGGCTGCAGCCACCACAGAATGATTTAGGAAGGGGGGAAGGAAACAACTTCTGCTACAGCTTCCAGTTCCTCCCCTCCAGTTACATCTTATCTCCTCCATGGCAGCAGCCATATTTACATTCCAGGCTTGTAATCCATATATTAGCCACAAGAGTCAGAGGATACAATGGAGATATTTAACCATTTGTAAGCCTGACCCATGGCAGGTGACTAAGGTCAGGAATGAAAGACAAGCCTCTTGGAGCAGCAGCTAGTGCTCTATTAACTTTCATTAAAGATTTTGAGTTATTTTAGTTCATCCCACTGCTACAGGCTAGAACAGAGGCAAACGTGTTACTGAAGGCATTGTAGGGGAAAATGCCAGGTGCTATGAAGTACTGAGTCAGAGACAGTACGCTGTCTGATGCTGCCCTCTAGGCTGGCCTCACCCAGAGGAGAAGGGATTACTCCTACATAGGTGCGCTCCGTTAGCTCCAGTGGTAGAGGACTGTGTCTCAACAGCTGAAGTAGCAGGGTCCCAGCTCCAGCAATCTGGGGATACGAGAGATTTATAAAGCAATTGTGTCAGTTGTCAGCCCCTCATTAACCTGTTACAGAGGGAGATGTGTGTGCGCTTTCTGGAAGGGTGCCAGAGATCTCCACACACAGGCAGATTTGTAGGTTCTCATACTGTTCCCACCACTTCAGTATCCCCCACCACTTCAGTATCCATGCACCTTGTAAATCTGCCCAAAGTCCAGGTCCCATAAGAGGCCAAGGTCAAGCCAAGAAAAAGCACAATGCTTATTAAACAACAGTGTTATCTAAAATTGAGATTGTAAATATACAAGTCAGGAACAATCAAAGTTATGATTTCCAAATAAAACAGTCATTGGAATGCATAAACATGGAGATAAATGCCGCATGTGCACATTCCACACTGCAGAGAGCTGGCGTTTTAAACCCTACAGTGTTAAAAACTGAATGAATTGGAATGCCACGTGTCATGCACACAGCAAAGGGAGTTGAGCCGGTATCACCAAGTTTCCAATAACTAGAAGGGCCAATCACCAGAAATCAAAGGACCGGAGCAAAAGAGCAAAAACTGATCTTTACCCAGTGACATCAACGTCTCATAGTTGCTTTTCATCACATTCTTGTAAAGTTCCTTCTGCCATTCCTCTAAATTCCCCCACTCTTGCTCATTGAAATAGACTGAGATGTCATCAAATGTTACTGGCACCTGGAATCACAAATGCCACACATTCAGCACCTGCTGTTGTGATCACATTCTGAGGCTTGCTTCCTTTTATCTTCCATTAAAAAGACTTCCCTCACTTTTGTTTCCTGTGAAATAAAGTACTCAACATATTTAATTGTGAACTAGCCCAACACAAGCAGCCAGATCAGTTCCCTTCTTCTAAGCCATTTTATTAATGGTGAATTAAAGGGCGAATATACCAAGTTCTGGGGGGAAAAAACCCACTTCAATAGTTCACGGCCAGGCTTTGTATCTACTCTTCATCATTAGCTGGGATATCGTTACCTTGGGAACTTCCCCCTTAGTCCCTGGGGGGAGCCTCAGGACCCAGAAGTTCCTGTTCTTCAGCAGGTTCTCCATGTTCTCCACCCTCCTCTGCAGCAGCCCGTACTCCTGGATCAGAGTTCCCAGCACAGCCCACTTACTCTCCAGCTGGTTCCCAAACTCCACCATTGTTTTCTCACAGCAGACTAGTTTCTTCTCAGCCGTCCCCATTCTCCCATCCAGATTCAGCAACTGTGCAGCCTGAGAATCCACCTTCCTCTCTATAGCTTGGAGGGCAGCCAGGACAGGGAGGGAAATCTCTGCACTCTGCAGTTGTGTCTCTCTCAGCGAAGTTTGTTTGAGGCCGGTGGGGGGATGCAAAAGTGTTGGGTGCTGGGATTCTAGGTCCCATTTTGGAGCCTGTTAGCAAGGACAGAAATTGAAAGTGGGGCATGTGACACTGATATATCTGGCAGTCTCCTTTCCCCATCTCGTCAAATGTTTGTCTAGCACCCCAGCACAATGCAGCTCCAACTGTAATGAGGGTACTAGGGTTTTACTGTAATTTAAATAAAAATAATATGGAAATGAGAGTCAGGCTATCTTCTTTCCCAATCATGTACTACTCCCCGTAATAAGTGTTCAGCAGAGCAACTTTTACCCTTATGGCTATTTTGGCTTTAAATGATGCCCTCTTTGACACACCTATAACCCCCACTGCCTTCAGCAGGTTTTCACAGGTGTGAATGAATGAAACGTAAACAAGTCTGTTGTTGACATACAAGAAACAGAATCCAGCGAGCTGCGCTGGCTGACAGGCGCAAAAAGCACTAACCACTTATTTTTGTCCTTTGAACACGCAGCTGTAGTTTTGAGCAGCTCCCTGGAGTATGATGGTGCAAGGCAAAAAGAGACAGCTAACAGTGCAGGGGACTGGGCGACGCGTGCAGGGAAAGGAGACGGGAGAGCCCAAGGCTGCTCGCCAGCCGAGCGCGGCACACTCACGAGTGGGATTGGTTGGGGGGCACAGGGGGTTCGTGAGGCCATGGTGCTGTTAAAACGTGCTCCACATCGGGAGCCTGGGAGAGTTCAGCGGGGAGGGGGGTCGGTCCCTGCAGCTGGGGGAGCAGCAAAGCCCCGCTCCCTGCTCCCTGGACCATCAGCAAATGGCCCCAGAGTCTGAGGGCATGGCTACACTTGCAGACGTAGAAACTTGCCTTCGGAGAGCACAGTAGTGAAAGTGCTGCAGTCTGTCCACACCGACAGCTGCTTGCGCACTGGTGTAGCCACATTTGCGGCACTTGCAACAGCATTTGGAGTGGTGCATTATGGGCAGCTATGCCAGCATGCAAGTGACTGCAATGTGCTTTTCAAATGGGGGGGGGGGAGGTGGAGTGTGAGAGGCAGTATGTTGTATGTATGTGGGGGGAGAGAGTGGGGTTTTGGGGGGCTGAGAGCATGTCAGCATGCTGTCTTGTAAGTTCAGACAGCAGCAGACCTCCCCCCTCTCACCCACAGCATTCCACACTAATGGCTTGCATGCCGGCTGTCAGAAACAGGGCTTTGAAAGGGCATTTCTGCATTCCTACAGGAGTTCAAAACAGTGACCAGAGTGACCACTTGACTTAAGGGGATTATGGGACGTTTCCGGAGGCTGATCAGAGCCCAGTAACCCAACACCGTGACCGCCTTCACACTGACGCCCGGGCGTTGTAGCCAAGGCGCAGCAAACGTTATTCATCTCGCCGAGGTGGGGACCGGCAGCGCTGTAGCCGCGGAGCCCGAGCGCTCTACAGACCTTGCCAGTGTGGACGGGGAGTGAGCTAGAGCGCCCGGGCTCCTTTATTGCGCTGTAACTCGCACGTGTCGCCAAGCAGAGAAACACAAACCGGAGCAGTTCGGGCTCAGCCCCCGCCCGGCCGGGCAGCCCCGCGCTCCCCGCGGCCCGGCTCCC